GATGCGGGGGCGGGGGGGGGCAGGTGGTAAAGAGGTTAAGGGGAGAACGGAAGAGAGAGACCCGTTAAACTGGTCTCTTGTTTAATTCAATCCACATGTCAGTGATGTGTGTGTGCGTCTGTGCCTGTATTTGTGTGTGTATACTCACGGGAGCGTGCGCACGCAGACACAATTGACGTGCTTCAATCGAGCAACGCCGAACAGAGATTATGCAACCTTATCCTTTCTGGGTCCAAGCGACAGGAAATCAGTCAGACAGGCGGACTGGAAGGATCGGTCGTACTTTTTTAGAAAATTGGAGTGACGGACAGACACCAGACAGACAGACTGACGCAGACTAAAAGATGGACAAATGAACGGATCACGTGGCCGGAATTGAGAAACGGCTTAGAGAAATACAAAAATAATTTTCCCACAACAGCGTGTATGCACCTTTGATACACTGACTTTAATTTTCGCATAATTGTGTGTGTTATGAGCGTCTGTGTGTGTGTGTTGAGGTTGTTGAGCGAGCCAGAGAACGAGCGAGCGAGGGAGTAAAAGAAAGGTGAGATGCAGTTTAGAAACGGAGCAAATGTATCTCGCATAAAACCTTCTGACCGGGTCTGGACACTACTGACAATGAGTGAAAGTATGTTTCTTTCGGGGAACAGTGCACGTGTGACCAGTACCAAGCACGGAATCCAATGGCTGAAATGATCGGCATGTATAAGTGTATGTGTGTGTATGTGTGTATGAGCGGTTAGACTGGAGCGATCACAAGGCAAAATCAGTATTCAATTCTATTGAAAAATTTCATGAAGGCTTCTGTCTGCTGCGGTTTCAATCAGATAGAAGTGAACATCAGAGCGAGAGTGCACAATGTGAGAACTGAATTCAGTTGCGGTGCAGAAAATGAAATCTTTGTTCTGGTCGAAGACCGTGTGTGTAGGCATTGCTGTGTTTGTGTGATTGTGTGATCACATGGAGTAGTTAGTAATTTGAATATTGTCCGGAGATGCCAAAAAAATGTGATCGTTATCTAAAAGGAGTCAAATGTGGTCTGATCATTTGGAGCGAACTGGGTGAATGAATCAACTAGTTTTCAGGTGAATGATGATTTGTTTTTGTTTTCATTCAAGTAGAACCTAAAGACAACTACTGGCATAAGGATTGACAGATTGAAAAGTCTGATGTGAGAAATCATGCACGTGCTCAGTTAGTTCAAGAGAAGTGAATCGTCAGGGCGGATAGGAGACACACACGTATGGCTAGATCAAGGACCGATGTAAAAATATGAATTCTGATGCTCGGATAAGAGAATACTTGTCATATCTGCACGGAAAATATATTCTTCACCCGGTCTCAATGTGGATGAACTCGCTCAAAATGAACGGCACTCAGGGAACCATGCACGTGCGCGAGAGCGCACGCACACACACACACATTGTGCGTAATGGTGACAACTGTCGTAGTCGTAGTATTCTACATAGTCACACATTTGTACTGTTATCAGCGACTGATGGTTTTGAGGTTTACACTTTCTTAAGACATTGGTTTAAACTAGAGAGAATAGAGATCGAGGCAACATCTATCGACACTGGAGCCCTGGGATTGCAACCACCTGATTAATAGTGAAATTTATTGACATCGTTGAGGCTGACGGGAGTCATCATGTGCGGCTATATTTCGTGCGTTGGAGGACAAGGGAGAGGGGTCAGGGGGTTGGGAGACATGAGTGGAGAGAACTACTGTATCTAAACGAGGGTTGAACGACGGCCCAGAGCAGGTTGTCTCAGTTCCATTGTGTAAACACGACACCACAGATTTTCGAAGACCGGATCACGTTATGCACATTTCTCATTTCCATCGACTACGTTTGAGTTTGTTTGCGGAATGGGGTTAACGGAGTTGCCGTCCATTTTGTCAAACGAAATATTCGGGACTGGCACGATTTCGGTAGTAGCCTCATGTGAGTTCAGGTTCTCCGTGTTCTTGTTGGCATTCGATTCTGGTTGCTTGGTCGACTGACGTGTACGGGCAACCATAACTTCCGATGCATTCAAATCCTGATGCAGCAAATAGGGTGCTGTGACAGGCATGAGAATCGCACCCAATGGGGCAGTCAAAATAATAGCCATTGCAGCTAAAGTGAGCACCTGGTCAACAAATGGGATGGGAGAGAGGGAGGGAGGGAGGGGGGGGGCAGGAAGAAGAATGTGAAAAGATTTCGGGATCAACCTGATTAATATAAACAAATTTGATTTCTCTTTTCTACTCTCCAGTGTTTATTATTATTCACTTACCACCTCCCCGTAGCCAATGATTT